CTACCTGCCTCCCCATTCCAGTCCTCTGACACCTGGCCGCCCCCCCCAAACACCTTTATTACCTCTTTTGTTTGTATGATGAACACCTGTTTGTTGTCATTTTTTTCAGCTAATGGAAATTAAAAAGGAGAAAGGAAAAAAGTACCCCCTCCCAAATCCCACAATTTTGTGACAACCCTTGTTAATATTTTGGTAGAAAGCCCTTAGAGCCCTGGCTGGTTTGGCTCAGTGGTTAGAGCACTGGCCTGCGGTCTGGAGAGACCCGGGTTCGGTTCCCGCTAAGGGCACGTACCTCGGTTGCAGTTTGTCCCCGGCCCTGGTTGGGTCGTGTGGGTGGCAGCCACTCGATGTGTCCCTTTCACGTCGATGTTTCTCTCTCTTTCTCCCTCCCACTCTATCTGAACAAAATATCGAAAAATGTCCTTGGGTGAGGATTAAAAAAAAAAAAAAGAAAGCCCTTAGACCTGTTTCCCATGGGAAAGACTTTGACCAGCCCTGAGACACAGGGAAGAGGGGGTCCACAGTCAGGAGCCTGGGGGTAGCAGCCCCCCTTCCCAAGGGAAAGGGCTGGAACTCTGCTTCGTGTAACGTGGTCTCCCCCTCGAGCCCTCCAGAGGTTCCCCGGAAACACAGTTTGGAAAACACTATTTCAGGGTCTTTCTTATGGGTTGATCCCGTGTACACATATAAAAACACACTCTTAAAAATTTTACAAAAATCAGATTATACTATTAGTCTTTTTGCAAGATTTTCTTTCGTACTAAACAAATTATGGATATTTTTCCGTATTAATGAGTATAGATCGATATCTTGAATGCAGTTTTCGAATGCATTTTTGTTGGCTAATAAGGGCACAAGAACACAGAACCCAGAACTTGATTCCCACAAATATTCCCAACTGATTTCTGACAAAGGGGCAGAAAGAATTCAGTGGGGGAAAGAAAGAGAGCCTTTCCCCCCCCCCCCTGAGGACGCTTTTCCATTTATCAAACCAAAACCAAGGTACATGCCCTTGACCAGAATCAAACCCTAGACTCTTTGGTCCGCAGGCCTATGCTCTAACTGCTGAGCAATCCGGCCAGGGTGAAAGAGAGCCTCCTAAACAAATGGTCCCAGACACGAGGACCTAAAGACCACCCTAAGTATCACACCTCACACAGAAATTCGTTGAAAATGAATCAGACTCCGCTCTGGCCAGTTTGGCTCAGCAGTTAGAGCATTGGCCCGCGGACCGGAGAGTCCTGGGTTCGGTTCCCGCTAAGGGCATGTACCTGGGTTGTAGTTTGTCCCCGGCCCCGGTTGGGGTCGTGTGTGTGGCAGCCACTCGATGTGTCTCTCTCCTGTCAATGTTTCTCTCTCTTCCTTCCTTTCTCCCTCCCGCTCTGTCTGAAGATAAATGCCAAAATGTCCTCGAGTGAGGATTAAAATAAACAAAAAACAACCAGACTCCAATGTAAAATGTATAACTACACTTTCAGGGAAAGAAGGAGAAAAACATTTGGATCAAAAGGATCTTTTATGAGACTAAAAAGACAAGCTATAGACTGAGAGAAAATATCTGCAAGCCCCGTATGTGATAAAGGACTAGTATCTGGAATATATGGAGAACTCTCCAAATTCAACATCAACAACAACAAACAAACAATCCAATTAGAAAATTGGCGAAAGACACGAAGACACATTTCACCAAGGAGGCTATGCGGATGGCACATAAGTACATGAAACAATGCTTCCACGTAATTAGCCATCAGGGAAATGCAGGTCAAAACCCCAAGGAGTTAACCTACCAGACTAAGCTGGAAGAATTGCGAGAACACCGAATGCGGCGAGGACGGGAGAGCCTGGCCCACGCCCACGCTGCTGGTGGAGTGCAACATGGCACAGCCTCTGGGAAAGCTTGGCAGCGGCTTAAACACACTAACCATGCAGCCAGCATACTATCCAGCGGGGGCACCCCGGGCATCTGTCCCAGAATAATGAAAATCTGTGTTCAAACACACAAAAAGCTGTACACCAGTGTTTACAGCAACTGTATTCATAATCGCCCCAAACTGGAAATGCCCAGGTGTTCACCAGGTGAGTGCTCACACAAACTGTGGCCGATGTACCCCAGGCATACTACTCAGCAAGGAGCGAGCTATTGGTCCTCTCAACAACCCGAGTGAGTCTGCAGAAGCATCATTTTCCTTTTTTTTTTTTTTAGTCCTCACCTGAGGACATTTTTCCATTCATCTTCAGATAGAGTGGGAGGGAGAGAGAGAAACATCGATATGAGAGAGACACATTGATTGCTTGTCTCCTGCATGACCCCGACCGGGGCCAGAGACCAAACAGCAACCAAGGCATGTGCCCTTGACTGGAATAGAACTCGAGACTCTTTGGTCTGCGGGCCGATGCTCTAACCACTTAGCAAACTGGCCAGGGCAGAAGCACCATTTTATTTTATTTTTTCAATCCTCATCCAAGGACTTTTTTTTTTTTTTTTCATTTATCTTCAGATAGAGAGGGAGGAAGAGAGAGAGAGAAACATCAGTGTGAGAGAGACACATCAACTGGTTGCTACCCACATGACCCCAACTGGGGCCGGGGACAAACTGCAACCAAGGTACGTGCCCTTGGCGGGAACCGAACCTGGGACTCTCTGGTCCATGGGCCGACACTCTAACTGTTGAGACAAACAGTCCAGGGCAAAAGTATAATTTTCAATAAAAAAGTCAATCCCCCAAAGTTATATGTTGTAGGAGTCCATGTCTATGAGACTCGTGGAATAAAATAATTATGAAACCCTGACCGGTTAGAGCATCATCCTGATAAGCCAAGGTTTCAGGTTCAATTCCTGGTCAGGGTACAAAGGGGAATCAACAAATGAATGAATAAATAAGTGGAACATCAAATCTCTCTCTCTCTCTCTCCCTCTCATTCTCTAAAATCAATCAATAAAAAGAATGATAATTATGAAGATAGAGAACAGATTAGTGGTGGCCAGCAGCTAAGGGGGAGGGAGCAGGAGGGAAGAGGGCGGAACTGTGAAAGGAAGGTGGGAGGAGAGTTGTGGAGACAGGAATGTTTTGTATCTTGGTGTTTGTCTTTCTTTTTTTAAATTTTATTAATCATATAGAGAGAGGAAGGCAGAGGGAGAGAGAGATAGAAACATCGATGAGAGAGAACATCGACTGGTCGCCTCTTGCCTGCCCCTCATTGGGGGGATCGGGCCCACAACCAGGGCATGTGCCCTGACCAGGAATCAAACCGGCGACCTCTTGGTGCGTGGGTTGACGCTCAACCACTGCGCCACACCGGCTGGGCTGGAATGTTTTGTATCTTGACTGTGTCAAGATCAATATTCCAGGAGAGATTTTGTGCTATAGTTGAGCAAGACGTTACCATTGGGTGAACAGTACCTGAGATCTCTTCATATTGTTTCTCACACCTGCATGTAAACCTACAATTATATCAGAATAATACTTTGTTTTTAAATCATGAAAATATTTAGACAATGAAAAGTAGGTCCCCCACTCCCCCCACCAGCAACCGGTGTTACCGTTTTCTGCATCCTCATTTCTAAAGAGGCCTGTGTTTTACCAGGCGGACATGGCGCATTTCACTGGACAAATTCCACACTGTTAGAGTGTGCATTGTTCCTAATTTTTACCATGACTAGTCATGTTATTTATTTTCTTTTTGTCAATCCTCATTCAAGGTTATTTTTCCATTGATTTTTAGAGAGAGTTGGCAGGTGGGGGAGAGAAACAATGATGTGAGAGAGAGACATTGATTGGTTGCCTCCCGCTGACCCCAACAGGGAGCCAGGAAGCGAACCTGCAACCCAGGTACGTGCCCCTGACTGGGAATCAAACCCGAGACCCTTTGGTCCTCGGGCCAATGCTCTAATCATTGAGCCACACCTGCCAGGGCCAGCCACGTTATTATGAGCATCCTTGTGTCTGTGTCTTTTCCAGAAGTGGTATTTCTGGGTCAGGAAATCTGCATCTGTGCAATGGTGATGTGATATGCCTAGTTGTCCTCTGGAAACATTGTATCAATGTACACTTCCCCGGACAGGTTTGTCCTCTGACTCTAACAAGCCACTGTCTCCTCACCAATCCACCCTCTAAATGAAGAAAGGGCACGGACTACCCAGGGTGCCACAGGAGAAACAAAGGCGCCTTCCTATTTACCAGGCTCCTAGGAGGCGAATACATCAGCTCATTTCTTAGACTGTTTTGTAGATGGAAACTGCACCAGACTTGAAAAAGATCACATTCCTACTTTTGCTGTAACACTTCCTTCCGTCTTCCCCCGAGAACCCTTCTCGAAACCCTTCCTATCCTCACTTTTGCTGCTCTGCAAAATAAACTGTGTAGCCTCTCATTTCCTGCAGGGGAACAGTTAACTTTCTCAGTCTACCGTGCTCAGAATGCAGAACCAGAGAATGCGCACGTCGGCGCCAAAGGGGGCCCCGCCCGGGGGTGGAGAGCTGTGCCCTGGCCCAGGGAGGTATCGCGGTGGCTCCCGGGGCTGGCACTTGGCTGGTTCTGGGTCAAGCTATGTAAATGCTCTTTAACCTGTGTCCTTGTGTGTAAAATAGGTACAGTAACAGTGACCCTTCTCATAAATGCGTTTACTATAGCTCAGTGCCTTCTCCACGGGCAGGATGGGAAAAGGGGGGTGGTATTATGTGGTCAAGGGAAGGACCAGGACCAGAATGTTGAGCTCCTGACCCACCTGTGGCTATCGAAGGCACTGTCACTAAAACCACTGGGAGCCTTCCGACATGTCACGAAGCTAAAGGGGGGAGTTGCTTGAGCAAGCGCTGAAGGAACCACGGTGATTTGGGAGGGCGTGCTATGTTTTTGCATTTGTAGCAAGGAAAAGGCTGCTACCTGCTAGACCAGCGGTTTTCACCCTGTGTGCCACGAGAATGTTTAAAACATTCAATATCTGACCATCTAGACAGGGGCACTGACCTCTTTTCCCTTAGATTGTCAAATAAAAAAGTGATACCTGGCAGGGGAGACACCATGATCACAAAGGTGGTTTCCCGGGGCGAGGCTTGGCCATTGCACTCTGGATGTGCTAACCCGTGTGATCTCCCCAAAGGCAGGAAACTCGGCTGCACAATTTGCGGTCGTGGGGGACTGCGTTCGCGCTCTCCCCTAAAAGACAAGAAAAAAAATGACAACAGCCAACACAACAATAGCCGTACGATGTGAATGTCCTGTTTTGAACCGCAAATATACGGGTCATATAATAGAGTTGTATCTTATTGATCACGTTGCATCATAAGGTTGTGTCTGATTGGTTATTCTTGGTATGAGACACCCTTATTTATTTTTTTTAATTAAAAAAATTTGTTTTTTCTTTATTGATTTTAGAGAGAGACGAAGGGAGAAGGAGAGAGAGATAGAAACATCAATGAGAGAGAACATCGATGGGCCTTCTCCTGCATGTCCCCCACTGGGGATCAGGCCCACAACCTGGGCATGTGCCCTGAATGGGAATCAAACCGGTGACCTCTTGGTGCATGGGCCGATGCTCAACCACTGAGCCACACCAGCCAGGCTGAAACCCTTATATACAAGCAGAGGCACCTGGTTTTTTAAAAAGTCAATTTGGAGCAAAAAGTATAGGTAATTACTACTATTATTATTATTCTTGTAAATCAATCAAAATTATACTGTTTGGGGGGGTCAGATTGACAAAAAAGATAGAACGTTTCTTGGTGTGCCGCAGAATGTGCGTGTCGCTCTCCCACACAGGCGAGGAAGGAAGAGGCGGTTTGGGCCCAGGGGCTCCAATTCCCCCCCTTCCTCCCCACTCACAGGACTCGAATGCTCTTTGGGTCTGGCGCCACCTCCAAATGCGCCTTCCTGCGCAACCCGCAAGCCAGGAACTGCACTCACAGCCCTTTCCCTTTAATTAAAGTAGGTTTTATTGCTTTTTTCATATTATAAAAGCTATAACTTTCACTGAAGGGAAAAGAGTGCAAATACAGAGAGGCTAAAAGAAGGAGGCAAAGAGCCACAGTCCCATCCCGCAGCTGTGAGCTGGGAAATCAGCTAAGTACATTTCAGGAAGGGGCCATCTGGGAGGATGTCCTGGCTGTGAGACAGCGGGCCGGCCAGCGCCCCCAGGGCCGTCTCTGCACCTGCGCTCCCCCTGGTGGTTTCCTGAGGCCCCCGGCACCCCCAAGGCCACCAGTGCTGAGTCCTCCTCACCCCTCCCTGAGCACCCCCTGCTGTCTCTTGGCTTTCGTTTTATTTTTAGATTTTTAAGGTTTAGCAGACGTACCACGAAGCAGGATGATCTCAAGTGTGCAGCTTGAAGAATCTTCCGTGTACGCGCACATTGATAGCCACCGTCTAGACAAAAGCAGAACGCTGTCAGTGCACCCCCACCTCGGCGCTGCCTTATCCCACCCGATCAGAATCCCCGGAGGTAGTCACTCTTCTGACTCCTACCACCATGGATTCACCGAGCTTGGCTTTGAACTTCAGACAAATGGAAAGTTTGCGTCTCTCACTCACCATTATGTCTGAGATTTTTTTCAACATTATGTCCATCTTATTCTCAACATGTCTATGGGATCCATTATGCTGTTCCATGTAGTGCTTTTTATTTTATTTTATTTTTTAAAATCCTCACCCGAGAATATTTTTCCATCCGTTTTCAGAGTGGAAGGGAGGGGTAGAGAGAGAGAGAGAGAAAGACCTATGGGAGAGAGACACATGGATTGGTTGCCTTCCACACAGCCCCGACCAGGGCAGGGGACCGAACCACAACAGAGGTATGTGCCCTTGACCGGAATCGAACCTGCGACTCCTTGATGCTCTAACCGCCAAGCCAAACTGGCCGGGGCCATGCAGTCCTTGGTCCTTTTTCACTGCTGCCTAATACCCCATTGCGTGCAATGTGCCCAACTACCACAGTGTGTTCAACTTTCTCGCTGTTGGTACACATTCGGGTTGTTTCCGGGTTTGGGTGGTCATGAGCATTCTTGTGCCTGTCCTTTGGTGGACACGAGTGTGTTCCAGGTTTCCAGCGGCACCCCCAGGAGTGGAGTCGCAGGGGCTCAGGGTACATGTGCGTTTAGCTTTAGTACGCACCATCACACATTTCCCCCAAGGAGTCATGTGGATGTGCACACCTGTCTCCTGGCTTTTAGGACGTGCAAAGCTGGTGGAGGTCGTTTTAAAACATACACCTGGCAGGAGTTCCAGTATTTTCTTAAACTCCACTTAAATGCTGCTTCGAATCTGCAGGTGACGAGGGACCCAGGATGTGCCGGAATTCTGTCTTTCGGTTTTCCTTCTCGCCTATTATTGCCACCTCCACATGGTCCTCACACGTGTGTGCACCTGTATGCACACATGCACACACATGCACGCACACATGCGCACACACATGCACAACTGTCCACCTCAGTGGAGGCACCAAAACAAGGATTCCAGGCTGCCCCTTAACTCAGCACCCCCACCCCCCGGGCCTGGTAAGCTGTGTGGGCTGCTCCTGCAGGGGCAGACGTTTGTCCCTGTGGGGTGATCATGTGGCCCACCCCCCACAGCACGGGGCCACATGGGAAGCCTCCACAGCTCTAGGATGCAGCAGGTGGAGATGAAACCTTGGCCCACAAGACCTAGAACCCTCTGAACTGCCTGGCTGCTGGCCAGTCCTGTGGTTGATCAGAGCCACCAGAGGGCGGCACAGTCCCACAGAAGGACAGCGCCGCCTGGCTCCCCGCCCCCTCCCTGAACTGCCTCTGGGACAGAAGTGGACAGGGAAGCGCTGGAGCCCACGTTTCTCCCCACCTTCTACCCTGGCCCGTGGGCCGAGCCCCGGGGAGAAAACCCGAGGACCGCTTTGCTCTGTCACTCACTGACTCTGGGATTTGGGAAAACCACTGAACTCTGTGCCTCAGTTTCCACACCTGCAAAATGGCAATAACAACACCTCCCTCACTTTGTGGGTCTATCTTGGGGCTTCATTCTAGTAATAACACTGACAGTAGTAGTGATAATAGTGACAATGGGATGCACTGAGCGGTTAGTCTCTACTGGACAGCGGGCTGGGCCGCTGGAGCCGGCTCTCGAGAGCCTCCCACACTGGGCGCTGTCGTTCCCATTGGACGGAGGAGGAAGCACAGGGACAGCCAGGCTGGGGTGCCCCTGACCCACCCATGCAGTCTGGCCAGAGTCCCTGGTCAGTGGCCATTTGCCAGGCTGGTGGCCTCGTGTGTATGTGTGGCTGTTGGTCCCCAGGTGTCTCCTCTTTCCCTGTGGTTGAGGAGGTAGAAGGAAGTCAGTGCTTTTCAATCAACACCTCCTGGAGGTGCCGAGGGCCTTGGGGTCCGGGGGCAGGGGCTGGGAGTCCCGTGGGGTGGAGCCCTCCTCCCCTCCTGCCGCAGCAGCTCTTGGGGGCTCTGCGCATTTTACTCATTGGAAAGAGTTCAGATGCGAAAATGAACCCAGAAGACGTTCTAAACCCCCAGACTAGAGCATTTCCGAGGTCCCTCCTAGTCCTGGGTGTTTCATGAACACCCTTCTTGAACCTACTCATATTTTCAGCTGGGAAGTTCACATGACCTTTGCCCTCCTTATTTTTGTTTTCTCCGTTTTATGATTTTCCTCCTGGAGTTTCCAACAGCCCCAGCTTGTCTCTGGCATCTCTGTTCTCCCATCCCCGGCCCTGTCTGGATGCCCCCGCCCGCTCCAGTCTCCCCCAGTCTCCTCAGTCTGGACTAGCACCCTGACTTTCCCTCGGGGGTCCCCACACAACCCCCCTTTGACCTCGTCGACCTGGCGCGTCCCCAGTCCAGATCTGTGCCTTTTCTCACAGCCCGTGGAGGGCAGGAGCCGGGCGCAGCCGGGGGAGGGTGTGCTAGGAACATAGTAACATAGGGACATAGGAACATAGGGACATAGGAACATAGTAACATAGGAACATAGTAACATAGGAACACGGAACATAATAACACCTGCGAGGCCAGAGCAAACGGTAACAGCACTACGATGCAGCCTGCAGCCGTCTATTCTTCAGTTCCCCGGCTAGGCTTCCAAGCTGCTCTTTGCAACGCAGACATACATCCATTGTATTTGAACGAACTCTGCGTTTTAAGCACTTTTCAAGGTATCTGAGAAAGACGGGAATTCAGACACACCTGAGAGCTTTTTTTTTTTTGGTTAATCCTCACCTGAGGATATTTTTGTCATTGATTTTTATTTGTATTTTCACTTACTGTATTTACGTATTTAAAATGTTTCTATTGATTTTTTTAGAGAGAGGAAGGGAGAGAAAGATAGAGACATCGATGTGATGAGAGAAGCACTGATTGGCTGCCTCCTGCACGCCCCCCACCAGGGATCCAGCCCACAACCCGGGAGTTGTGCCCTGACTGGGAATCAAACCGGGAACTCTCAGTCCACTGACCACGCTCAATCCATCGAGCCACACTGGCCGGACTTCCATTTGATTTTTAGACAGAGCGGAATGGAAGGCGGGAGGGAGGAGAGATAGAAACATTGACCGACCGCCTCCTGCACGCCCTCTACTGGGGATAGAGCCTGCAACCTGGGCATGTGTTCTGACTGGGAATCGAACCAGCGACCTCTTGGTCCAGGGGCCGACGCTCAATCCACTGAAACACAGTCCGGGCCTGAGAGCGTTTTTAGTGCCCCTGTTCCACTGGGGATAAAGTGGGTGGCCAGACACACACTCTGGCCTGTCAGTAAACTCTCCCCGCCTCATCGCAGCCCCGCTCTGAAGGACAGTCTCGCTGTTTCTACAGGGAACTTTTTAGATGTCGCCACCCCCTCAAGGTTGCCGGGTCCTTCACGACCAATCTCCCCTTTCCCTGCGTAGGAATGAGATGATCAATCCACACCAGCAACCAATCAACCCAGAATTGCTCATCATCCGCCCACCTCGGACTTTGCCGTGTTAGGAGCACTGGGTATGGGGGAGTTGTAAGAAAACTAAGCTTCTCAATACCCCCAAACGAACTGTGGTTTGAGGGCCACGTGGCCTTGGCTCTGGGAGCTGCTATGAAATGTGGCAGAAATGAAGAGAAGGGTCTGGGTTGAGATCTACACCTTTGCCCGGCCCTTGAGGCCGTGTCTGAGCTCGGGTCCTCCCTGGTGCCCCCTCACTGTGCCTGCTCTCT